GAATTCCATAGGAATAATGTTTTCCTCCCTCCCTGGGCTGCATTGGTTGGTTGGATGCGGCGTGTGGGACACCCGTGTCCCAGCTGGTGGGTGACATCCTGGTGTCAGGGGTAGCCGGGGCTCTGCCCTCCCCGATTCTCACCCCGTCCTTTGTATCCCACAGATCGACGAGATGCCGGAAGCAGCAGTTAAATCCTCCTCCAATAAATACCAAGTCTTCTTCTTCGGGACCCACGAAACGTGAGTGGGGCCGTGACGCGTGCAGGAGATGGGGCTGAAGGATCGACCCCTTTGCCGGGGGGGGGTTTGGGGAGATGCGAGAACCCCCTCCCCCCCCCCCAGCTGCCATCCCTCACTGTTTTTTCCCCCCTCGACCAGAGCATTCCTGGGGCCCAAAGACCTCTTCCCTTATGAAGAATGCAAGGAGAAGTTCGGGAAACCCAACAAACGGAAAGGATTCAGCGAAGGTTTGTGGGAGATCGAGAACAACCCCACAGTCAAAGCCTCCGGCTACCAGGTGGGTCATGAGCCGGGGGGGGTGGTCCCAGCACCTCGTGTCCCCCTCCGGCCGCCTCCTTCCTCCCCGTCGCCTCTTCCCTCTGTGAGTCCCCCATGTTGCCTCCAGCCCACCCAGAAGAAGACCTGCACCGAGGATGCCGAGCCGGAGCGGGAACCGGAGGGCGACGGGGAGAAGAAGGGCAACGCAGAGGGCAGCAGCGACGAGGAGGGAAAGCTGGTGATCGACGAGCAATCCAAGGAGAAGAACGAGAAAGCCGGGATCAAGAGGAAAGCAGAAGATGCTTTGGAGGTAGGGGGACGTCGGGGACGTGGGCGAGGGGGGGTCTAGGGCTGTGCTGAGCCGAGCTCCCCCCACCCAGGATTCCCCCAAACGCACCAAGGAGGTGGAGGGGCAGGAAAGGGAGAAGATAGATAATGAAGAGACCCCCAAGGAGGAGCCGAAACCCAACCCGACTGAAGGAGAGAAGAACAGCGACGCCTCCGGCATGCCGGACGCCAACGAAGCCAAGCAGGAGAACAAGGAGAAAACGGGCGCGGAGGAGGTCAGAGATCACAAGGAGAGGTGAGGGTGGTGCGGTGACCCCCATCCCCAAGAGTCGGGCTCCTCCCTGCCCACCCCGGGCACAGAGGGGGGGTCCCGGTAACTGTGGGGTCCGTGACCGAGCACTTGGGTTTCTTCTCGGCTCCTCCCGCAGGCTGTAGCGGGTTTTTCTCCGCTGGTCGAT